ATATAAAATTACAGCAAGGGTGTTATGGGGATTGCAGACTTCCCAAACACCTTGTCGTATAGAATCTTGCCATGACACTAGAGAGAATCTTTGATTCTGAGTCACGAGTGTCATATAATAATCAGGGTGGGGATAAATTCTATATTTCTACAGTTGTTAATTTGACGTTAATACCAATATTTAATGTAGGTTAGGTGTTCCTCTACCGGCGTACGCTAGTGACCTTATTTTCATAATATTAATTGAAAACGGCCCTTGTAATGAAGCAGAAGCAGAGGAAAGTAAATTATAAATTAATCAGATTCACGTGTCTGGGCAAATTTACAGGAACGTCGTGTTTCCATGGCAGAACATTTCTTCACACTTGACCTGACGGTGCCCATCGAATTTTTTGGGCTCGCAGGTTTTAGTTTACAGTGATTCACTCCTTGTCTTTCTAGCAATAAAACTGAGATATCAGCAGATCGATATATATATATATATATATAATACGGGAGATAGATGGAATTATTATTATTATTTTGAAATAAATGATGAAGATTGGGAATCAAGGGGTATGCCAATAGGCAATAAGTGAGTGGCTCAAATTGGAATGCAAATGATAGGATTAGAGACAAATGGGTTAGAACGATAGAGACATGTGGTCATGTGTCCCCACTCCCAAGTGTGATATGTGATGGATGGATGCTTTTATTATTGTGATGCGTCCACTGTTACGCTAATTGGAATTGGCGAATTGCTATATGAAGTGGGAGAGCGCATCATGTGGGATCCCAACTTATGTGGACATCTTTATTTGATGCTTTCTCACTGCATAACTTCCCCCCCCCCCCCCCAAAAAAAAACTATGATATTAATTAATATTAGCATCTTGTTTGTGCATTATTACAACACCCATGCATGCACATTCAAGTCTCATATTCACAAACACTTGTTATATGTATACTTTTTCTTTTCATTATTTCTGTCTGCGAAGACACACAGGTTTTGGATTATGGTTTCACTGGCCATGTATGTGATGCGCTTGCATGCTTGTTGGCTACTTGGTCCCTCTTCTCACTCTCTCTTTGAAACTCCTCCTACCGAAGAAATAAAAAGAGAGTATAATTGTGTGTGTGAGAGAGGGAGGAGAGAGAGGGGAAAAGTATGTAATGTGTGTTAAATAAGAGAAAAGTGCGAAAGAAAAGTTATATTACAGGAGATTGGCTCACTTACAAAAATGTGCCGAGTTACGTTTTGTTTAAGAAACCATATACGGCAACCCCTTCACCACGTATATAAATAGGAACAGTAATATTCTGGTTTTATATGGGAGAAAGAGCTAGATACATTTGGCTAATTGAAAATATATATATATATATATAGAGAGAGAGAGAGAGAGAGATTGCTTACTTAAGATGTAATAGTAGCAACCCATATCCCCCGTATACACAGATGTGTGTTGTGTGGATGTCTGGAATAAAATAAATGAAACTTTGATCACTACATCAGGCAATGTCTGATGACTTTTCCTGCTCATCATTCGCAATTACCTGAATTGAAGTTGCACATGCTTCGTTATGTTTTTCTGTCTTCTGACTCATCTATGGCACATACATCATATAGAACGATGGCACTGCCACGTTGCACGCCACACACACATATAAATACTTCTTTTGGTCCTTAATATAAGTCGCTTCTAGAATGATAGTTTGGTACATAATATAAGTTACTTGAGAAGTCATTAATATATATTTGTCATTTTTGTCCCTACAACTAATGTTTAAATATATGGATTAATTAAAATGATTTATATTATGTACCGGTGGGAGTATATTTTTAGACTAGTTAAGACTAGTAATTCATACATGAGGTATCCACAAGTTACACTAGGAATCCAGATTGGTTTAATCCTGAATTTCCAGAGAATATATATATATATATATATATATATATGGCTTGTGGAGAAGGCAGAAACAATATCCATTGTGGAATTATCCTGCATTTACATAATTACGTACTGGGCATAGCCTTACATACATGCTCCAAGCTTTCCATATTAATGATCATTTGTTTCATGTGTTTCTGCTGTTCATTAGATCTGATCAGTTCATTGACTGAAATTGGACCGATGATAGATGTGCCTAAAGTAACACATTCATTAGAAAGTGGCCATCACGTGCCGTGCAGATCAATAACCTGATATTTTTAATATATGTATCCTTATTATGCTTTGCATTATCATATCATCAATGACCCTCCAAATCTTATTTATAGATTTTGTTTGAAAAAAATTTTGACGGTGCATCGGCTTTATATGTATATGTATGTGCTTCGTCATTATCAATTCCATATTACCGCTTGAAAAGATTGTGATAATGGCATAACAAGCCATGCAATACCTTCGTCTGTTGCCCCCTTTCTTCTTCACCACACTAATTAATATCTTTTCATAGTGTGTGTACTTTTGTTAGCTTTATGCAAACGTATATATCTGGCAAGTAAAGCAAACAACGTATGCAGCGCTTATAACAACCACCCAAGTTTTATTCGATCTTATTAATTAAAGGAAAAGGAAATTTAGTTGTATTAATTGAAAAAAAATTGTTCTCTTGAAGGTCTCAAACACATCTTGAAAAAACAAAAGAGAAATAAAGATAGAGATATAACCTGATAACAATCAAACCGAGCACTAGGAAACTTCACCTGAAAAAAGAAAAGAAATCATTTGCAATTTCACAATGTCGTTGTTTCACGATTAATCCTATATATGAATACACATAATTCGCGTATATACATAATTGCAAAGTGAAGATTATAAGGAATGATGTCTAATATCTATTATTAACATCTGACTTCTTTAATTATTGCATTATATGTTATGTCTAGGACTTTGATTTTCGAATATTTAAATAAATTCATTTTGTATATATTGTACGTGTTCATCTTGATAGCGATGAACAAGTTTTCCTTAGAATCTAAGAACTTCAAAATCCAATTCTATTTGTTGGATTTTCAAAATGAATATCAAATTTAAAATTACAAGAATAGACCACTGGAACTGTGTAGACTTAAATATCCACGAACAGGTCATATTCTGGCTAGTACAATAATATAATAAACCCTATCACACGCAACAAATTATGAGATCATTTAAAGATGTGCACAAATATTAATACTGCTACTAATGGTGTGTTCATAATAATTTTACTCCCCACGCAATAGAGGAACCAAACCACATCCAAGAAATGAATTAATATGTGATATATACTTACACCCTAGATTCGGGGGGGAAAAAATAATATCACAATAGCTTTATTCTATTTTACCTTTTTAATGTATTGACATTTGACAGTGAAATCTGATATATGGAGGTAGAGAGTTACGTGTATGATTGGCCTCTGGGGGGGGGGTTGAAGGTAAAGAAAGTAAATGACATCATTAAATTAGAACAGCTTTGAACCTAACTAGAAAATAAAAGCATATATAATAAAGAGGGTAATAATCTAAATGCTTGCTGGCAATTACACGTCAGCATGGGCCAATCAAAGATTAAATTAACGGAGAATTATTGAAAGAGAGGATAATAGAGAGGCGCGGAAGAGGGAGAACCACATCTTTATTAACTTTGACAAGAAAAGGGGCGAACGTTAAAAAGTAGGATCTAAAATTATTTCATTTACATATAAGCTTTCAATTTATGCCGTTACTTTTGGTGACCAGCAAGGACAAAGTTACCGTTTATATCACCAATAAGAGTCTTTCACATTCTAGGCATTTGGGAAAAGCCACTATTAAATTTAATGCTCATTTGATTGAATCATTATCTACTAGAGTTAGAACTTTAAACCACACAAATCACAGAACATATTTCTTAACAATAATTGCAAGCATTCAATGAACAAGAGATACTAAAATTATAAAGAAAGTGCAATTATGCACAAAAGATCCAGCTGGGACGGTAAGGGCCTGTGCTAAAGAAACTTCCATTAATGGCGATATTGACCAATGTATCCATTATTGATCATCTATACCTATCCTTAATCATGGAATAAAATATATATGCATAACAGGTCGCTAGAAAGAATCATGACTTTATAGAATTCATGGATAATAGGAAGTCCTTCTCACTGAATAATTTGTTCAGGTTTCTAATCAAGTATATGCAAGACCAAAGAGAAAATATATAGACATTGTGTGTGTGTGTTCCACAACTATATGAGCAACAGCCACATTAAAAAAAGAGGGTGAAAAGGACAGGCATTTGGAAAGAAAGAGCCACATTAGAGTGAGAGATGTACTTTCCATTACTGATAAGTTTCACCATCCCACCACCTCCTAGGGTTGCTGCTAAAACTCAGATAATCAACTTATGATATATATTTTTCAGATCCCATTGATTATTAGACAACTATCAACTTTGTAAGCGTCTGCTAGATCATTATGCTACTAAATTATGCAACCAATAATTATGAATCGCAGGGTGAAGTCCATGGGCTAGTATGCTATATATGTCCTTACTGGGTAAAAAGGCTCCCAGACAGTATGTCACTGCAGATTATATACAGTAGTTCTAGTAAGTATCCAAGAGGCGAAGAATAAAAGACACGGATCTGGTATGCAATATTTCAGGCAAAAATAGGTGGAGAGTCAGTGAAACAAACGAGGAAACACATATTCGGTGCTGAAAAATTTGTTTGTAGATTTTTCAAAGGAAAAGGTATTGAGTTTATATAAGGACTGAATTGGGTATATAATGGTGAATATATATATATAGAAGTTTGGTGATAATCAATGTTGAAGGCTATAATTAAAGGAAAAAAATTATTTCCTTGGGTAGCTAATTATGTAATGTAATGGTAGTTTTAGGAACACCAACAAGAAAAAATATATTCAAAGGCCTCGGATGTTACTTCCATGTTTGTTGTATGCAGTCAAGTCCTGGAATAACATGTACGTACATGCAGGAAAATAGAGTCTGAAATAATCTTGAATAACCAACATCCAATGAACCTGGACATAATCAAAGTATTAAAGAAATGATCACGCAACATGATGTAATTATATACTTTTATTAGCTGGGTTTTTTTCAGCCGGAGGCCTTAAAAAGGCATGAGCAAGTGGACAAAACGAGGATTATTGCTTCGAAGGAGAAAGTGCAGCCTATTGTGTAATCACACTCATTGTTGCACATAATGTAAGACAACCAATCAATTTGTCCCTCAGCCGCATTATTTATTAAAATAATAATCACCTTCGAACCCATTGAATTTCTCCAAAGGCCTACCACAAAGCCAGAAGGAGGGGAAAATATGACATTAGGTGGGAACAGAATGGACAGCTAGCTGATGCTCGATTATAGTACTAGAGAATACGTATGAAGTAACCATGTTCGAACTAAACCCCTTGTAAATTAAACCCCCAAAAAAGTGACAAAATTATACTGATTAAACAAAGACGTCCCCAGAAATGTAGGTTAGCTTTTATACAAGGGAAATTAAATGAGAAAGGTGGGGACGAGGGACGACAAGAGAAATAATTAAAAGGGCCGTAATATTAGCTAAGGGACGAGAAGTAAATACAAATGAAGGAGTTGACAGGTGAAAGGAGAGAGATTTGAAAAGATTGACCTGCGTCTCCTTCATGCACGCCCTTTTCTCTTACAGCAAAAACTGATCAGATTCTCCTTGTCGCTGACTCTGATCCCATATATCTCCTATGAACTCCACTTCAAATGCCGACCCTTGAAATGCCTCCTACAAAAATACACCGAAACATACGCCGAGACGAACCGCAGATCCGAAAAAGCTAAAGCAAAAGAGCAGTAATCATCTACGTACATCTTCTAAGGAGACATATTTTCAAGTGACAAATTGAAAAAAAGAAATTTATATCGTCAATATCCATCCAGGATGGTAGTGCTCGTTATCCACAAGCCAACTTGCTCCTACTCGCCTCCTTTCAATATATTGATCATCCATGTGCAATTTCATATATTTCTTCTTCTTTTTTCTTTTTTTAAATATGTATCAGTAGATTTATATGAGCTTAATTATAGTCATGAGAATGGTGGTACATTGTTGGGTCACATGATCCACCTTGGGAGCCATGACGGTTCTGGCTATTGTGGCTGCTATCTTCGTCGCCGTCCAATCTCGAACCTATTTGCCCCGACGACGACGTCGCACCCAGGTTCAGGTAAACCAGCCTGGCGTCCAGATTAAGGTTCGCGATATTGCTGTTGCTACTACTGCTGTTATGGTCTTCGTTCATTGGGGGATAAATGGCCGTTGACGAAGGAGGATTCGCATTGCCTTCCTCACGGGACAGCACTAGAGCTGCGGATTGGACCAGTTCCAAACACAACCTTAATTTGTTGGGTTCAATATGAGCAAGCCCAGGGACGGCCCCCTTGAACAGAAAATCAGAAGTTAGGGTTCTCAGGATGTCAAGAGGGGTAACCCCATCTACGGTCCGGACGTTCGGGTCGGCGTGGTGGTCGAGGAGGACCGCCACCATGTCCGGTGACACCATCTCGGCGGCAAGATGAAGTGGGGTTTTGCCGGCTGGTCCGGCGCGGTAGTTGACGTCAGCTGCACCCAGCTCCAGCAAGGCCTTGGCGACTTCGCGGCTGCAGTTCTCTACGGCGTAGTGTAAGGCCAATGCTTCGTCCAGATTTAAGCCTTCCCCCATAACCATGAGCTTCACGAGTTCAACATCGGAGGAGTCAAGTGCCCTTCTCATTCTGCGGATTTTCTGATCCTCGAGATCTGCGGTGGCGCTGATATGGTCGTGATGGTGGTGGGGGTGGTGGTGGGGGATTAGGGAGCGACGAACGAGGGAGGTTTTGAGACGAAGCTCTTCGATTTTAGCAACGACATCGATGGGAAGGTGTTTGGCGAGGACTTCAGGAGGGAGACCGGACTTGGCAACAAGGTGTGAGCAAGTAGTCCAGAGTTGGTGCATGTCTTGCTTTGTAGAAGCTAGAAGCACTTTCATCACATCTTCAATGGAGGCCTTCTCAACCATGCTGGCTAATTGTTTCTGCACACCAACAAAAAAAAAAAATTCAAAGGAATGATTAAGGGAATTTCAAATCTGGAGAAATAATTTGTAAATAAGTGTAAGACATCAAGGCCACGAATTGATTGAAGCGAAACAAAGCGGATAGTTGGTCTGCTAAATTTACGTTTTAAGCCAACGCTTTTCTCATCGCGGGTTTGTTCACTTTTCTCCTCCAAACACCGAATGAGGAAAGTGAACATGTTTGGGAAAGATTTGGCGTGCAAACAGTAGAAGCCAGGACTCGATAATTCATCTAAATTTAGAAACCGAGTGAGATGCATCCCATTGCTGGAAAAACGATACATGGGACATAAAATCAAGGGACTGTCACATCTACCCAGAAGTAGCCTACAAAATAAAAGCAGAAAACCGATGCTAGGAAGAGAAGAGCAAGAATCTGTGTGTATGTGATGAAAAGAAACAAAAGTACAGAATTGTTGGCAAGGAATGGAGGAGCACAATGAGGGAAGAGACAGATACAGTCACACATTCAATTGCGGAGCAACAAGCAGAAACAAAATTAGGTGGAACAAGAGTCAAATCATAAATTAACAAATTATTGCTAAACTGCACATGGGATGATTGGAAAACCAAACCTCACCCGCTTCACCATAAGATAACAGCAATTACTGAGAAATACGTAATAGTAAAATAGAAAATGGGAGCTGAAAGAATAACCCCTTCCGCTTCTCAAAAAGCCAGAACCCATCAGCAATTGTCCGAATTTTCAAGACCCACAAGACAGTACCAGTAAGACTGGTCATACTATTCAGAAATGGAGATGACAGAAGCAAGCAGGGAAAAAACAAAAACCTGAGTAAGCAATGCGAGCTGCTCAACGCCAAAAGATCTAGCGGCAGCGAGAGTATCAAGGGCGAGATCAACGGCAGAGGTGCAATGCGTGTGCCAACAACCTCTTTCGCCGCAATTAGGCCTGGGCTCGTGCTTCTGAGGCACAATAGAGACTTGGCCACTGTACAAGAACTGAAGCAGAAGCAGAAACACTTCATAGCCCACAGAGTTCACCGGAATGACCCCGGGCCTCGACGGAGAGGTAGATGAGTTCACCCGCGACCCTGAGGCCGGGTCCAGCCCGGACGGTTGGTCAGGACCGCAGAAGAATTTCCTGAAGAAGAGGCTTCGAGCCGCCAGGATGCAGCGGTGGGCGTGAACCAGGCGACCCTCCACGCTGAAAGTGACGTCGCTGAAGGCTTGGCCATTGATGAGCAGGTTGAGATAGTCCATAGATAGAGATCTGAGAGAGTCATCCGAGGACATGGTTCTACGTCTGAAACTTTTAGGGTTGCGAGAGGCTTAATATTTGTGGTCACCCGGAGAAACAGACGGGACAGGAGGATCAGGAGAAGAGGGCGAAACTGAAATGAAATAGTGAGAGAAGAAGGAAGTGGATTCGGTTCATTAATTCAGTAGCTAGTTTGTGTTGTTGATGAAGAGGATGGTGTGGTGGGAACTGTAATTGCTGTTATGGGATTCTTGGTTTGTGAGATTGTAGGTGTGGGGGATGGCGTTTTGTGAGCGTTTTGATAGAGATATTTTCAGGAGGGAGGCAGACAGGGAGAGCAATTTGAGGTGCCTATTCTGGGCGGCTAGGGGTTTTAAAAGGACATCTTAATTCTCAAATTTCAATTAAAATTATTAATTACTATTTCGATTTATTATTATTTTTTTCCCAAAGTCATGTCTGATTGGATTATGAGTTGAAAAGATGGCTTCTGATTGGCCCATGTTTTTATGCTGCTGATCATCCATCTCAAATCGAGATCCCTAATAAATACACGCTCAGTTACAGTAACGAGCACTATATATATGGTGTTCATGCTCTGGTTGAAAACTCAGTGTTGACCCCTACATTCTTCCACTCCCACGATTAAGAATTTTTTCTATCTCCATTTTTTTTCACCATTTTTATCTCCATATTGTTACTTCATAAAGATTGTTTATAATATCTAATGAAATATTTACGACTTACGTTCAAAAATATTATTGTCTCTCTGTAACTCCTGCCATACAAAATGTAATATTTATGAATCAGGAAGAACATAAGTTATCATATAAATATATATATATAGAATGAATATATTTGCATATTAATATTTATATGCCATATTGGGTTGGTGTTAATGGTAATATTGATATCGATGATTGGAGAAAAAGAGAGACTTGTCTCTGTTTCTTTTTCATAATGACCCGGTTAAGATACAATTTTTAAATGCAGATAACGATTTTTTTTTTTTTAGAGTGGGAGTATCAATTGCAAATATCTATCATAAGGGGTTCTTAAAAATAAATACCTCCTGAATTTGGTTTTTGGGAATAATTTTCCCTTTATTTTATCAAATTATCAGTGTCTTTCAATTAATAATTTAATACCATTTTCCTTCGTCGTAGATTAGTTAGTCACGTATATTAGTTAATTATTTTTTTAAAAAAAATCTTGAAGCCTAATGGAGTACCTAGCATAGCAGGTTTATATATATATATATATATATAACTTTATTTCAACATAGCCTTCAAAGTTCAAACAGCTTATGTGTTTTCTTTTGCGTAAATTTAGAGTATCCCCACGTTATTTTGGCCTTGAAATTAATTCTTTTGGACTAAAAATGTTAAAGTTCTTCCAATAAGTACACTTTCTAAAATTCAAACTTGTATTTTCCTCCTTATAAAGATGAGATCACTTGTCGTCTCGACTAACACCTTGTTGTTGGTAAATAGCTTCTGTGTTTTTAATAACTACTACCTTTGGTCCTTAATATAGGATCTCGTTTGACTTTTATTTTGGTCCTAAATATAGGATCTCAATCCATTTTGTCTCTAATATTTATACATTTTTTTAAAATAGTTCTTTTAACAATAATAGTTCTAGCCAATATACTTGATTAGCAAGGATATTTTGGGAAAGATAATACTTATTTATGACAAATAACTAACTTAACTTCTTTCTTTAATCTCCTTACATTAATTAATTAGCTCTTATAATTAAGATCGGAGGTAGTATATTTGATAACAAATTGTTTTTAACATTGACCCCCCAAAAAAGGCCACCGTGGGATATTAACTACTTACTATTGTCGTTCCGCATACCGACAGCTATATGCTTGCGATCATTGTCAGACACTATACTCACACACACACACAAACACACACATATTAATCAAACTGCTTTTAAGAGCCGCGCTTTAATAAAGAAAATTAAAAAAATAGCGAACATTGACAAAAAAATGTTATAAATAACTAAGTATAGTTCTATACGTTATGAGCAGCTCCAAGAGAATATTAAATAAGTTGTGAAAAGTCATAATAATATTCCTAATCGGCCCCATGCAAGACAGTCCCTAATTAAAAATTTGTATAATACCCAAATTTGAATCCTATATATATTATAATTTATTTCCACTAAATCTACTTGGAAATAATTAGCGTGTTCCTATTTTTTATGGCAACCGGGTCACAATTGACGACGACTTCGTGCCTTCTACAGTTGTTGTCAATAAAATGATTCCGGTATGGATCAGTTATGTTTTATTTTATATATATATATATAACACATATATTTGAGAGTTTAAAAATAATGAATTAAGTTTGGAAGTCTGCATGTTGTACAATTTTAGGCCATGAAATTTGTTCAATCTGAGTTTATATATGTTATCTTTTGTTTATGGATAACATATATATTGGAGCACATGTCTGCTACGGCATATCAGGCTTATCATTATCTCAAAATAAACAAATGTCACCAATGATTAGCTGTTCTGCTAACCGAAAAAGGAAAACAGATTTTTTTTTTAAAAAAAAAAGCCTGCATTTATGTTCTGCCTATGATTATTTATTATAGTTATAATATGAGCGTGGATCAACTCATGGTGAACATGTCTCATCAATGTTTTTTTAATTTAGGACCCTGCCATAAATAAATCTGATTTTAAAAATGTTTTGAAACTGAAGCAATATGGGCAGAGAAAGGGGCATCAATCATCACTCATCAGTCAGCTAAAATAGCTATGGCAAAAGGGAAAAAAAACAGCTAAAATAAAGAATAATGTGGATCATATCTTCATTATAATGCGTCTGTCCTAAAACGCATGATAACATTGATTTAAGTATGTGTTATAATATGTATCCAGAATTTGTTTAATGGTTTTGTTTGTGGTTTTTTTTTTTGTTGCCATTTTAATTGTGATGGTTATATATTCCATCGTCCAATCCCTATTATAATTAATACCCTACTCGTAGAGGGAGTAGTCTGATTAATTATCAAATTATATAAATAATAAAAAAAGACGTAAACTTAAAGGGTGTTTGAATATCTCTAGAAATATTTTTTTGAAAATATTTTTTTATAAATTAAGATAATTTTTTTATATATTTATTTTATGGATCATAAAATTACTTCATGATAGTTTAGTTTCTATATAAACATCTCTTTAAAAAGGGAAGGAATGAATTGGTTTGAGATTATATTATTACTTAGATCGGGGCAATTAATAGTTGAAAATGAGGCCAAGTATTCGATGTCAGGAGCAGGATCATCTGTGCAGTTGCTTTAAGCGTGATTTTTCATTTTTCAGGGAAATGGGAATTAGCCTTTTAATGCTAATAAAAGAAAAATCTTCTCATCAGTGTATAGGGGGAAAAATGGGGTATCTTGGGGCATAAAATATTAAAATGAGCAGCCTCTCATAAAAACGGGATTTTTTTTTGGCCGGGGGGGGGGGAGAGAGAGAGAAGGTAGGTGGAAAGGGACGATGAGGCAGGAGGCAGCTTGGGGAAGAGCGGTCAAAACTCATCCATATCTTGGGACATGTGCCCTACATCCTCACATCAATAAAACTGTTAATTAACTACTTTAATTAATCAATCCTCCCCTACGACCCTGCCTTCTTGCCTCCTACCTCTGCTACTAATTAAGTAATTAACACAATTTTCACACATGCTTCTTAATAATAATTTTTCCAACATTTGATATTAATAATTTTTTAAAAAAGATTCTTGTCTTATGAATCAAGAATGTTAAATTTGATCAAAATAAAATAAAATTTTGAAAATTAAAATTAAAATGAGATCAAATTTTAAAAACTAAAAATAATATTAATGTACTGGTTAAACATGATTAATTAAAATAAAATATAGTCCCACCACTGGAGAATTTAGGACCTATTTAAAATAGTTTATAAATAATTTTTTTCAATAATTTATAAAATATAAAATAAATATATGACAAAAGTTTTGTTTTGCATTTAAGAGAGTATTTAGATAAAAACAAATTATTATTTTAATATATTTTTATAATATATGAAATAAATATACAGAAAAACTTGTTCTGATTCATGAAAAAGAAATGCTTTCTAAAAATATTTCTTTGGCACTCCAAACACCCCATACGTACGGTCCAGGAGTTCATTTATGAGTGTGTATAAAAACAAGGCAGAAGAGAGAGAGATGATTGACAGCACATCTCACACTGACAGTCATATGAAAGGAGAGAGTAGAGATGAGACGTTTGACTTGTCATGTCAGGGCCATCACCATCGCTGCGTCCTCTTTCCTTCTGTCTGCAATACTACACGGTTGCCTTCTTCTTTGTTGCAGCTTTCCCAACCCCAATTATTTGCTCTTCTTTCTCCTTTTCCCCTCTTCTCCACATTCTTGGCTTCCGGCAGAGGGCGGAGAGATTCTCCTCCGTTGTGGTGGGTTTCATTGTCTTTTCTTTGGGTGTAGAGTAGTGGCTTTTCATGTCATTAAGTTATAATATCCTGTTTGTTATCATGATTAAAATCATTTATAAGTATATTTTGCATAAATTGAGACAAAATTCCTCTAACATATTTAACTTATATTTTGTAAATTACGGTTAAAAAATTGTTTATAAACTATTCCAAACAAGCCCAATATAATATAATGTACACTACATATAAATAATTTTAGGCATATCTTCTGCCAAAGAAAGTAAAATCTCATGCTATATATCGGGAATCCTCTGGCTCCAAGTAGCACGATGGTTTGAGAATTAAGGCTGGGAGTGATAGGTGGTGCCTGTATTTACGTTAAGTACTGTGTCGCACGCATGACATGCACATCGATTCCTATCTGCAAAACTTGATGAGCTCAGCTTTCAGAAGAACTGGCCCCGCCTGTTAATTAAAAGGGTCTGATCTCAAGTGTACAATATTAATTAGGACGCAGAGTATCCACGTTTTTCTATAACTCCTACTGTCTGATATTTATATTTTTTAGCAATTCAAATTGCAGTTTTATTATTTTATATATGCAAAGTGTTGAATGTGCCAGTAGCTAGCATTAATCTCTCTTAAAATTTCCAAAGCATTAGGTGCCTTTCTGATAAGTTCGAAAAGAAGCGGAAAAAAATCTTCATCAGAGGCATCACGTAAAGGAGATGGTTGCCCCTCAACCTTTTTGTCCACTGACGAGTCCTTTCAGACTACTTTACCAATTTTCTTCACCTGAATAAAGTACTGTTCTCCTAATTGATGTAACATACCAGTAATTTTGTCATCGAGCTATTCAAAATTATCTTCAAGCCACCAAGATTTTCGGAATC